GCGCGCGGAGTCCCCGCGAGGCCCGCCCGCTGTCCACGGCCGTCCCCGCCCCCGCCGACGCGCCCCCTGCTGGTCTCCAGGGCGCGTCCCAGCCCCGCACCTGCTCCCTGTACGGTCAGGGACGCTAGCAAGGCTCAGTGCGCGGGGACCGCGAGCCACGTGCTGGCGACACAGGAAGACAGATGATGACTGTCCGAAACAGTCAAGTGCCTGAGATGTGGACTGAGCGCTGGCGGCGTCATCCCAGCTTCCTGTCGGACGGGTCCCTGTGCTGCTGCAAGAGGGGCCCAAACTTGTCATCTTAAAATGAGGCCGTTGACGGAGAACCCGTATAAATCATGGGAATGTTGGATTTTACATTCGGAGTTCAAAGAAACAAGTAATCCAATGTAGAACGTTCGTTCCGTAGAAAACGAAGATTGTTGTCAAAATAAAAATGAAATTAGAAAATAGGACTTAAAATAGCCTGGAGGTGTTTCGCTATGGCTTTGAAAATAGGCGAGTGCTGCCAATGATGATTGTGCCGCTCAGTCTCCGTAATAATAGCCCCCGGTGCGTCGCGGTGTAAGATGAGTGGGTCGGCCTTTATTTTTATTTACTGAGGACATCAAAATCCATTTGTTAAGGTCAAAGGTCAAATGGTGTGTCTCAAATTCTAAACAGTTATAGAACAATCTAGACTTTTTTTGATCCTCCATGCTCAACTAAGTTGAAGATTCATGTTGCCGAGTTACAAAATTAGGACTTCTGTTTCTGAGGATTCTTTTCCTACTTTCAAAGGAGCTATGTTTCATTACTTCACAAAAGGATGAAAAGTAGTTGCAAAAACAAATACCCCAAAACATGTGAAGTCATTCTTCATAAATCCAAAATTAATTTTAAAAACTAAGATGTTATCTATAGGGTTGTGGGGTTTTATTTCGTTTTGTTTTAATCAAAAGATGGCTGTTTAGGAAATTTACTGTGTTATTTTTGTTTTGAAGTGGAATTTTACCTTATGGTCTCAAATTGTTTTACAAAATATAGAGTATTATGAGGTGACAAAATCATGTCACAATTTAAAAATATAGTATTCATGGCCTGTATTGAGCACAGAATTCATTGGATAGATTTTTAAAATGGGATCCCAAAAATGAAAGTACTTCAGACAAAAGTGTTATGCCTGATTAAGGATAATATACTCATAATTTTTAACTTCTTTGTGCTTCATTGGGTAGCTAAAGAAGATGATTTTGAGTCATAATTGTGATGTCTACAATAGCACATTAAGAAATATGCGGGCTGTTCATTTACGTATATGGTGTGAATATCATGGGGATGGCCAGTATAGGTAGATCAAGAATACATTGGTAAATACAGCCTTATGAGTTCTGTAATTTTTTTTCATGAGTCCACATGATATCACTTAAAAGAATTGACATATCTTTAGACAGTCTTTCAAACTTGTTTTTTATTTCTTAAATTGTCAATTAAAGCTCACACATTTTGTTTGATGTCAATAGCAGGTTTATTCCCTGCCTAGGGTGGAAAGCCACTAAAATCAGTAAATTATGAGATCTTCTACTTGAAAGGGCCCTTAAGGGAGGACCTCTATGGAGGGTCCAACCTGTGGACCTTAGCCATCTAGGAAGCTCCACAAATTCTTCCTACCAAGAAACTTAAAAAAGATCATGATCGTGAGTCTTCAGGATCAGCTATTGTATTCATTTCCTAGGGCTGCGGTAACCAATTACCACAAACTTAAAAGAACAGAAATTCATTCTCTCACGGTTCTGGAAGCCAGAAGTCCTATCTGGCAGGGCCATGTTCCTTCTAGAGGCTACTATAAAGGAGAATTTATTTCCTTCGTCTTCCACCTTCTGGTGGTTCCAGGTGTTTTTACTTGTGGCCACGTCACTTCCATCTGTGCCTCCAACTTCACGTCACCTTCTCCTCTGTTTGTCTCTGATAAGGACATTTGTGATGAGATTTGGGGCCGCCCTGGGTAATCCAGGATGCTCTCATGTTCCTTAACTAAATGACATCTGCAAAGACTCAGTTTTGCAAATAAGGTAACATAGATGGTTCTACGGATTTGACCTGGATAATTTGGGGGAAGGATCATTTTTTCAGCCTGCCACAATTACGTGACCTAAAACAGCCTACAGAAAGCCTGATAGTTCATTGAAGTCTTGTGTATTTTGTTAAAATCCTGTGACTTTTGCATTATGCTCGTTTTCTGTTTTTGTTTTACTGTATTACTTCATTCATCCTTTCCTATGTCCGTCACTGTTCTAGGTACGGGGTATAGACAGGGCTCCTTCCCGTAAGAGATGACAAGAGATTTTCACATATTGAGGTATATGGGGTAACTATTCGGGTTCAAAACTGATTCGGCTTGAACTAAAAAGCCTGCCTTATGGCGTATCAAACATACAATGTACATCTGCTTAACCATTAAAGAATGCACTCTCTTAAGATAAGAATGCATACTTCCCCTCCTACCACGCCCTATTGGTAACGCCCTATTGGTAACGCCTGGATTAGTCCCTTTGCTGACCTCACCGTCACGTTGACCTGCTAATTTGCAATCGAACACCTCTTTGAAATTTTGATAAAAATGTATCCTGAGTGTGTTTAATGTATGTTCTTTGTTCTGAAAAGATGTAAGACTGTACTGAAAACCATGCTTCTCTGGAACGCTTTCTAAGGTCTTCCCAGGTTATAATCCTCACTCTGGCTCGAGTAAACTCACCTTATTTCTCTTATCTATAGAATGGTCATTGGTTATTTTGTGTCGACAGAGATAACATTCTATCTTTTCTCCAATTGTTTGAAGATGGTATAAAATTTATGGTTCATAAAGATGTGTCATATTTTTACTCTGGCATCACTGTTTAATACCCCCATTTGAAAAGGTAAAAATTTGTGTGTGCCTGTGTATTGTCTTAGACTGAACAATGTCTCCCCATGTGTTCTTTTCCCAAATATATTGTGGCTGTAATTAACATCACATTATTTTAAAACCATTCCTGAAATTCACTGTAAGCTTTTTGGCATTATAGTCTTGTTACCACAGAAAATTGGGGTTCTCTTGCCCAATGTGCATCAACAAGCCAATTAACTACAGCATCAGCCTTTGGGAAAAGAGATCAGCTTTATTCTGTGAGATGGATCTGCAGGGAGTCAGGGGTGTGTGCCTTCAGATCTGTCTCCCCCATTCAGGATTTGGGGCAAAATTTGAGAGGTTAGGGAGAAGAGGCTGGCACACGGAAATGCTAGCGGGACAGGTTTTGATTGGTGGGCTTCAAGCATTTATGGTGTAAGGGATCAGAATTGGCCACCCCAAAATGTAAGAAACTTTGCCCCCGCCCTCCCTCTCCCCCCACCCCAGCCTAAAAGAATTTAAAATAGAAAGGCCTGTTCCAGGCACATGAAAAGATGTTCAACATCTTTAACTATCAGGGAAATGCAAATCAAAACTACAATGAGATATCACCCTATGCCCATCAGAATGGCTATAATTAACAAGACAGGAAACAACATGTGTTGGAGAGGATGTGGAGCGAAGGGAGCTCTCATACACTGCTGGTGGGAGTGCAAACTGGTGCAGCCACTATGGAAAACAGTATGGAGATTCCTCAAGAAATTAAGGATGGAATTACCGTATGATCCAGCTATTCCACTGCTGGGTATTTATCCAAAGAACTTGAAAACACCAATGCTTAAAGATACACGCACCCCTGTGTTTATTACAGTGTTATTCACAATAGCCAAGACTTGGAAGCAATCTAAGTGCCCATCAAGGGAGAATGGATAAGGAAGATGTGGTATATATACACAATGGAATACTACTCAGCCATAAGAAACGATGAAATCCAGCCATTTGTGACAACATGGATGGACATTGAGGGTATTATGCAAAGTGAAATAAGTCAGAGGGAAAAGGTCAAATACTGTATGATTTCCTTCATTAAGTAGTAGATAATAACAACAATAAACAGACACATAGAGACAGAGATTGGATTGGTGGTTACCAGAGGGGAAGGGGGGAGGGAGGAGGGTGAAAGGGATAATTCAGCACATGTGTGTGGTGATGGGTTGTAATTAGTATTTGGGTGGTGAACATGATGTAATCTATGCATAAATAGAAGTATAATGATGTACACCTGAAATTTATACAATGTTATAAACCAATGTTACTGCAATAAACCAAAAAATTAAAAAAAAAAAAAGAAAGGCCTGTTCCAGGAAGGAGCTAATACCATAAGATAACTGTAATGCAATGTAAAATCTGTCTCTCAGGTCACATTGTCTGTAGTTGGCCCATTTACATTTCCATCTCCATATAAATTGCTTTCCTCCCCCTTAAAGTCCCAAACCACTACCCCCAACATCCTCCTTTGTCTTTCGCTGAAGATGGTATTTATTTTTTTAATTAATTAATTTATTTATTTATTTTTTCCCCCAAAGCCCCATTAGATAGTTGTATGTCATAGTTGCACATCCTTCTAGTTTCTGTATGTGGGACGGGGCCTCAGCATGGCCAGAGAAGCGGTGTGTCGCTGCGCGCCTGGGATCTGAACCCGGGCCGCCAGTAGCAGAGCGCTCCCACTTAACCGCTAAGCCATGGGGCCGGCCCTGAAGATGGTATTTAAACTGGAAGTTAGGCCATTTTGGTGAGTTGCTCAGTCTTCCTGAGTCTCTCCCAGGTATACATGTTATATACCTTTGTTTGATTTTCTCCTGTTATTCTGTCTTGTGTCAATTTAATTCATAGCCCAGCCAGAAGGACCTACAGTGGGTAGAGGATTTGTCTTCCTCCTCTACAATGGTAAAGTTCTAAACATTTATGATGAGGTTCTAAACATTTATGATGAGGTTCTAAACTTTTATGGTAAGGTTTTAAACATTTATGATGAGGTTCTAAACTTTTACGATGGGGTTCTAAACCTTTATGGTAAGGTTTAAACATTTGTGGTAAGGCTGGGAAGGAATTTTAACACTGGATCTGCCTGAATGATGGACCCCTCCCTTCTGATAAGATTCTGATTTTTAAGTTCCAGTCGTGTTCCAGTCCTTTGGTTCCGTAGGGAGGAGAATCTTTGATTCTGCAGTCATTTCAGATTAAGATTTCTTCTTCTGAGTGTG